ATTTATTTCTGTATTTTTGAAAAATAGTTAACAAATTCTGCGTGTTTAATTATTTTTCGACTATTTGACTAATAATAGTAATAAAAATTTCCAATTATTGAGAAGTATCACTGCCAGGACCAAAAATAAAGTTTGATCTCGCGTATCTCTAATCGAAAGTCATACAAATTTATATTTTATTTAACACTTAGCAAATAATTCTTTTTTTCTATATTTATATAGGATGCATTGCCAAAACGTTTTATTGAATGTTATATTGCTGAACAAAATATGGTACAAGTTGCTATTGGAGTTGCAAGTCGTCAACGTTATATAACATTTGTTCATACATTTGCATGTTTTCTTTTACGTGCTGCTGATCAAGTTCGTATGGGTGGTATATCATTTACACGTACTAAATATGTTGGTTCACATGCTGGTGTATCAATCGGTGAAGATGGTCCATCACAAATGGCACTTGAAGATTTTGCTTTCTTTCGTACAATTCCAAATATTGTTTGTTTTTATCCATCGGATGCTGTTTCAGCTGAACGTGCTGTTGAATTAGCAGCTAATTATGATGGAGCTGTTTATATTCGTACAAGTCGACCAAATTTTCCTATATTATATAAGAATGATGAAGTTTTTGAAATTGGAAAAGCAAAAGTAAGATAAAAATTAATGTCGAAATATAGGAAAAAAGTAAACTTCGTTTTTGTTTTGTTTTGTTTTTTCTTATTTGAAGATTGTTGTCGAATCATCAAATGATGTTTGCACAATAGTTGCTGGTGGTGTTACACTACATGAAGCAATGAAAGCAGCAGAAAAACTTAAAGGTGTTGGTAAAGCTGTTCGTATTATTGATCTTTTTACAATTAAACCAATTGATCGTGATACAATTCTTAAATCAGTCAATGCAACACATAATCGACTTGTTGTTGTTGAAGATCATTATCCAGAAGGTGGCCTTGGTGAAGCTGTTATGGGAGCATTAGCTGGTCAAACTAATGTTAAAGTTATTCATTTAGCTGTAAAAGAAGTTCCACGTAGTGGTAAACCAGCTGAATTATTAAGCAAATATGGTATTGATGCTGAACATATTGCAAATGCTGTCGAAAAACTTGTTTAGATTTTGAAGAAATTTTGAATGAACACTGATTTAAAAAAAAAAAAGAAATAAAAAGCTAGTAGTGTAAAACATCATTTTATCATTAAAATAAAACAATTTAATCTAAAAGATTTTCAATTATTGAGCAATACAGGAAGATACCGAATGACTGAAATAAAAAATAGAAATCAATCAGTCACGCCGGAATCTTGCCATATTACCACAAAAAAAAAAAAAAAATCTTATAAAAAGTTATTTGATGTAAATAGAATATCACAATCAAACAAAAAAAAAATCCATTGATTTTTCTTTGTGCATCATAAGATTTATTACCAAATGCCAGATATATATATATATATATGATCTAATGATTGTTTTCAAAAAGCATTTCGTCTGACTAATAAGGTGAAGAGTAATGTAATACATTCGAAAATTTCTTTTATGTTCGAAGTGAATGAATGAATAATGGGATGATAGAATCTCACACTTACTTATATTTCTACTTACATTCAAGCGAGAGCTGTATGTAAGTGAGAACACTTTTTGTACTTTTTTTTTTCTTGCATTTCATTCGAGAATAAGAAAATATCACCATCAATAATGAAATATTCTTTTCTAACTTTTATGATTCAATAAAAATTTTTATGCATAGTCAGGTTTTTTTTTTTGTATTATGATCAAGAAGTTCTCTTTATGTCAATACATTCTCATATAGATAGATAAATATTTTGATTGTGTTTGAATATGTTTTAAACTATAAGAAAAAAAACATTGCTATATAACTGGCTTAAATGACATATGCGAATAGGTAACATATCAAAATCAATTTGTTCTATTTGTTGAATTATCACGCATATTATATATAATGAATCATATTGATGACATTCAATAGAAAACAAATCATATAGTATATCAATCTACAACAACATCAAATTTTGTAAAAGATCATTAAAATATATATTTACTATCGTATACGAACAAAATTAAAGATAGTCTTCATTTATTCTTTGATTTTATAAAATGCTAATAAACCGCTTTTATTCTTATGATATTGTATTGTTTATTTTTCATTTTGAATAATTGATTATTAAATAGAAATAAAATGAATTCGAATAAACATGATAATAATCAATCAACACAAGTTCTTAATCATACTACATATCCACATGATCAATCTATTGAACATCAACATCATCTATCTAAATATAGATGTTTTCATAGGAATAAAATTTATGATAAATCTCAACAAATATCTAAGATTCAACCAAATTCAATTATTGATAATTCTCATATTTTATTACCTGATCAATATATTCGTGATTTAACTGATGTTTATCGACGTGAAAAAGATTTTTTAGAACAACAAAATAATTATACATCACATAAAGAAATATTTATCAATATAAAAGAAAATCCGGAAAAAGAAAATGATGAATGTGAACCAAAATATTATATTAAAGAGTATTATTATACAATTCCTTGTATTTGTGAAACTTCATTACCAGGAAGAATATTTCAAAGTAAAAAGTTATATCACTTTTTTTTGTTATAATTAAAAACAAATCTGTTTATTAGATTTTGTCAATGGAATTAAACTTAGTATTGAATTTTTTCTATTTATCAATGATGTTATTCGACGTCGTCATGAATTTATTGAATACCATTATCCATTCAATAGGCATCAATCATACAATTGTCAAGTAAATCATAATTATCCATTTGTTCATCGTTCAACATATAGTAATAAAATGATAAAATTAAATTCAATACGCAATCAATTGAATAAAAAACCTTCACCAATGAAACATACAACAACGAGTACATATTATGATATTCATTAATAAAGAAAAATGTTTATTTTAATATTTACATTATTTTGTTAAATGCACGAAGTTTGACGAATACAGGCGTCTGCAAAATGATCGTAAACGTTCTGCATGCGGTTGTTTATAACTGTATCTATTCGATCTGGATAATTAAAATTTAAACAAAAAAATTAAAGATAATAAATACAAACAGAAAACTATTATCTTCTCCAGTTTTGTCAACCCTAGTGAATATACTGAATTCAAGGTATCTGTGTGATGAGTCAATTGTTAGCAGAATACCTTTTTGAGTTCCCTATTACCAGTATGTCACAGAATCTTGGTTGGATATCCTACTGAGAATTGTCACAGTACATAGGTACCTATACAGTTACTATATCATACTATGAAAAAATTTTCAACAAATTAGTAGATTGAAAATTTAGAAGCATTTTGTAGTTAAGTACTAAAAATTCATAAAAAGTACCTATAGATTCCTGTGATATACTGGTAGCAGAGTACGCTGAACTCAGTACATTCACTAGCGAATCTATCAGTTTACTTTAATAAATATATTGCAAGTCATTTAAATGTAAACGTGCCATCCCTATGTAGAAGTCGCGAAATCTATTTTGCAAGTAAAATATAATGCTTAGAACAAAATGCAAATAAGATTAGCGTAAACAAATTATTCGATATGATTCATTGATAAAAGTTCTAGATCTCTGTCTTTGCCAATAGTTATCTATATATTTGAATTGTTTCTATGCAGCTTCTATTCATTATCACTGGACGAATATCGAATATCAACATAAAAACATCATCAAATTTATGAAGTCTATACATTATCGGTCAAAATTAGCAGAAAACAAAATCAACTGTACTACGAAAATTGTTTTATGTCCTTATAGTACTAAATAGGAAAATCTAAATCTTGATTAAAATGATTTAAGGGAGAGATCTCCTTCAAAAATTTAATTTCGATAGGGTACATGAAATATTGATGGAACTTTGCATAGATGTTCAGCTCACGGAAATACATTAAAAAAAATTTCACGTCTTCATACATTACCGTTCAGAAGATTTATATGGACCAAGTTGCAGAATTCGGGTTGCTTTAATTTGGAAAGAGATACTTCTACCACTTCAGATGAGAGAAAGATTTTTTTAATTTTTACTTTGTTTCATGTTTCGAAACTTAGGGCTTATCAAGCATTGACAATTAGTTAGAAAATTTCTTTTCTTCATCTGAAGGACTATGCATATATATATATATATGTATCGATTGGAAAAAGACGCAGCTCTCTAGAATATTAGTATATTGAGAAAAAATTTGTTCGCCGTTTGATCGTTACCTAAAAAGACAATCTTCATGAAAAACATGAAAGTTGAGACGAATGCATAGTGAGATGTTCCGATGTTTGATCTTTCACAAATGGCATAATCTTTTAGCCTGTACCTCGATTTTTTCCAAAAATTTCCATCATTCTCTGCTTGAAAAATATAGTTTTTTTTCAGATAAAGTAGAAAATCTTTTTCTCTATTTATGATTTTTTAATCGCACATATCAGATTTATCGAAAGAGCTTCATTGTAGCCAATTGCTTCTTTTTTTGTTTGAAGGAACATATGAAGATGCAGGGTATAACAGAGTTCATTTGTTGACTTAAACTTTGTTACTATTATATAAAAGAATACTTTTATAATTAGAGCACCGACTTTGAGATATTTAACTTTTCTTCGCTTTAAAAGTAAGAATTCGAAAAAATTGCACTGTCATGTCCTGCATTAGGGGAACCTTAAAATAGAGGTGAAGCATAAATACATTACACGTCAATCAAACCACTTATTTATGTACATTACATTGTCCTTGTACGAGACACATCACGATAGATGATGCCTACCACTGCCTTTATGTTCATTATACCATTCAATAATATAACATGAAGACAGAAGAATAATAAATTAATTTTTTAAATTAATTTGTTGTCTTAGAGGTCTTTGAAAAGGTGATAATGATGGTTAGAATAGTAACTCATAAGACATATGGCATTTTATTTTATATAAAAGACCTACTTCAAGAGTGAAGATGAAGAGAAGACCTACAACTATACCATCAAGTCATTAGAAATCTCAAAAATGTGTTGCTAAGATGTGCAAAATTTTATTGATAAAAAAATTTACTAATTGTTTTAGACATGACTATTTGTCCAAATAGTTTCAGAGGCCATTCATAAAATCACTAACAACCTTTGAGAATCAAAACTACTTTTATGAATTCATACAATAGATAGTTCAGACAAAATGTTCATATGTTTATCTCAAAAATTATTTTTTTTGACGAAATTTGAGTTTTCTGAAAGGAACACCCTTAGAGCAAAGGTTTAATATACTTTTGATGCTTGATTATTTTATTATAGTGATCTTTTATTTCCTTGAGCCTAGAAAAAATTTATGAAAAATTCAAACAAGAAAAACAAAAATAGAG